AAAAAAAAAAAAAGAAAAAGAAAAAGAAAAAATAAATATATTAAATGGCCAGTTGTTATGGTTCATGCCTGTAATCCCAACACTTTAGGAGGCCAAGGCAGGAGGATTGCTTGAGCCCAGGAGTTTGAGGCTGCAGTAAGCTATGACTGTGACACTGCACTCCAGCCTGGGCAACAGAGCAAGACTTCATTTAAAAAAAATTACAATAAAATGAAATTACTTAAAAAGGCAAAGGCCTCAGGATTTATAAAAATGTCTAACTATGATAATACCTCATTCATATGGAAACATCATTTATTCACGAACAATTCACTGCCAGGAGAAATGGAAAAGAGATCACTAAGGATACAAACTGCATTTTATAAAACCCAAGTCTTTTTTTTTTTTTTTTTTTTTTGAGACAAGGTCTTGTTCTGTCATCCAGGCTGGGATCACAGTTCACTGCAGCCTTAACCTCCTGTGCTCAAGCAATCCTCCCACCTCAGCCTCCCAAGTAGCTGGGGCTACAAGGTGAGTACCACCGCGTCTGCCTAAATTTTTAATGTTTTTGGAGAAACAGGGTTTTATTCTGTTGCCCAGATTGGTCTCAGATTCTTGGCCTCAAGCAATTCTTCTGTCTCAGCCTCTCAGTGTTGGGATTAGAGGTGTCAGCCACTGCGCCTGGCCAGAACCTAAGTTTTTAATCATAGACACATCTAATATGAATATTCTAACTGTAGGTACAATCCTAAGTATTCTGAGTAATTTTCAAGAAAGAATCAATAACATAGAGGACAGAAAGGAGGAAAGACTCAATATTCAGAGTTGATATATTACCCAAAATGTCAATACTTAACAAAAATTATGAAACATAAAAGAAATAGGAATGTGGGTCTCAAACACAGGGGGAAAAACAGGCAAAATAAATCAAAAGAAATACCTTTGAGAGGGTCCAGCCATTGAAATAAGTAAAGACTTCAAAGCAAACATTATAAATATGATCAAAAAAACAAAATCCATGCTTGAAGTAAGTAAAAGGCAGGATGACAACATCTCATTAAGTAGGTGATACAATAAGGAGAAAATTATTTTTAAAAGAACTGGCTGAGCACAGTGGCTCACACCTGTAATCCTAGCACTTTGGGAGGCTGAGGTGGGCGGCTCGCTTGAGGTCAGGAGTTCAAGGCCAGCCTGGCCATCATCGTGAAACCCCATCTTTATATATATATATAAAATACAAAAAATACAAAAACTTAGCCAGGAATGATGGCACATGCCTGTGGTCCCAGGTACTTGGTAGCTGAGGTGGGAAGACTGCTTGAGCCCAGAAAGTCGAGGCTGCAGTGAGCCATAATTGTTGCCTGGGCAACAGAGCAAGACCCTGTCTCAAAAAAAAAAAAAAAAAGTGCAATAACTAAAATGGGGTTTACTATGTTGCCCAGGATGGTCTTGAACTCTTAAACTCAAGCAATGCTTCTGCCTTGGCCTCCCAAAGTGCTGGGATTAAAGGTGTGGGCCACCAAACCTGGACCTAAAATCGATAATTCACTAGCAAGATCAACAGTATATCCAAGCTGGCATAAGACAGAATCAGCAAACATGAAGATAGATTAATAAAGACTATGCAAACTGACAGAGGGGGAGGAAAAAGGAGAAAAAATGAACACAGCCTTAAAGGAATATGGGTACTAAGTGTACCAACATATGCACAATGAGTACCAGGAGAATACAGAAAGAAAAAGGAAAAATATCTGAAGAAATTATGGCTAAAAGTATTACAAATTTGATGGAAAACTTAATCTATATATCCAAGAAACTCGGTGAACTCCAAGCAGGATAAATACAAAGAGATCCATACAAAGACACATCACAGTCAAAACGTTAAAACTGAAGAAAAAAATCTTGAAAGCAGCAAGAAAAAGTCATCATATATGAGAGACACCTGATAAGATTAAGAGCTAATTTCTCACCAGAAACAAGAAGGCCAGAGAATACAGTGAGATGAGATATTCAAACTGCTCAAAGAAAAAAAAAATCTGTCAACTAAACAGTTTTTTTTTTTTGAAGCAGGGTCTGGCTCTGTCACCCTGGCTGGAGGGCAGTGGCACAATCTCAGCTCACTGCAACCTCTACCTCCTGGGCTGAAGCCATTTTCCCACCTCAGCCTCCCAGGTAGCCGCAACTATAAGTATAGTCGCATACCACCACACTCGGCTAATTTTTGTATTTTTCTGGTAAAGACGGAGTATCACCATGTTGCTGGTCTCAAACTTCTAGGCTCAATCTACCTGCCTCAGCCTCCCAAAGTGGTGGGACTGCAGGTATGAGCTACCATGCCCAGCCTCAACTAAGAATCTTATAAAAAGGAGAGTCATTTTTCAAAAGTAAAAATGTAACAGAAACATTCCCAGATAAACAAAATCTGACTAGCCTGGCCAACATGGTGAAACCCTGTGTCTACTAAAAATACAAAAAAAATTAGCCAGGAGTGGTGGTACACACTTATAATCTCAGCTACTCGGTGGGCTGGGGCAGGAGAATTGCTTGAACCCAGGAGGTGGAAGTTGCAGTGAGCAGAGACTGCACCACTGCACTCCAACCTGACAAAAGAGTGAGATTCCGCCTCAAAAAAAAAAGGAAAGGGGAAGGGGAAGGAGAAGGGGAAGGGGAAAGAGAAGGAGAAGGGGAAGGGGAAGGGGAAGGGGAAGGGGAAGGGGAAGGGTAGGGAAGGGAGGGGAGGAGAGAGGAAAGAGAAAGAGAGAGAAAGAAATACTATATAATCCCAGCACTTTGGGAGGCCGAGGCGGGTGGATTGCGAGGTCAAGAGATCGAGACCATCTGGTCAACATGGTGAAACCCCGTCTCTACTAAAAATACAAAAATTAGCTGGGCATGGTGGCGCATGCCTGTAGTCCCAGCTCCTCGGGAGGCTAAGGCAGGAGAATTGCTTGAACCCAGGAGGCGGAGGTTGCGGTGAGCCGAGATCGCGCCATTGCACTCCAG